CTTTCCGCTTGCATTTCAAGTATTAATTTATATATTTTAATTCTATTTATCTACTAAACATTTTTTTATCTAATATTTATTCCCAATTATCTTGCAGCGTTGGATATATGAAGAATTTCCAATGATTGGACAACAGTTTGGGCGTCATAGACATAGAACGTAACAATGTCCAAGAATGTATAAGTGGAAACCAAATAAATTCTTAACTGAGAAAACAGTTAGATAATTTTTAGCATTTTTGACACTCAACGGGTATTTTACAGTCCAATATACATTTAGTTATTTAATAATATGTATTTATTAAATTGTTTGTTAAGAAAAATGACAGTATATAATTCCAATATTTCTTTGTCATTATAGATTGAAATAGTTGTAACACTAACGCCAACATAAGAAGAATTAGAAACAATGTGGTACACAACACTCTCGCTGCCTCCGGATAATGAACATCATGTGTTAGATTCTATTATCAGTGGGGAATTTCACAATATAGCAATAGGAATCCCACCTGATACCACGCATAAACACGAGACAAATGTTCCAGGTACTTCGTTTGAATTACAAGTAGGTTCTTCTTCTTCTCGGTCTGGTTATATCACTAAAAAATAGATGGATGAACTTTTTAGCACCTATAAGCAGCAGTTAGTATCGAGTGTGTCCACTTTGTTCAATAATTTCAAAGCACACATGGTTGGAGAATCTGAAAAATACGAAGCTCGATACCAAACAGTTCTCGAAAACCAACAACAACTATTTCAACAACGACGACAATTGCAACATGACCATCATGAACACATTCAATCCATGCGATCCTATGTAGATACCAGCATAGATTCAATCAAATTTTATATTCATGAACAGAACAAGAACGTGCTGGATCAATTTTATGGTTGGAAATCCAATATGGAAGTTATTATAAACTCTCTACAATAAGATGTTCATATCCATAAGAGTCCAGTTCATGGTGATCAACTTATTCATCCTTCAAGCGCTTAACAAGTTCATCAAGTTCAACAATTAACCACATACAAAGAAAATAAAAGGAAAAACACCAAATCTTCGTCATCGTCCAAAGATCCTTTACAAGACTATCCCATGGATAGATACATAGCTATTACAGATTGGATACAAACGCATCAATCTGAGTAAGAAATCCATTTCCACTTTATTCATTCACATATTACAATTTTCATTCCATTGTATTCTAATTTATGCACCATGTCGCCATGCAGTGAGCTTTGGAAAGATAGAAGTAGAAACGCGTACGAACGAGATATATTACAAGATATACAGGATACATCCAAAAATATCCATGTTGCGGTTAGTTAAATTTACGATTGATAACAATAATTACGATCCATAGTTAACGTATCTAATTTACTCTATCTATTTCTTTAGATTCTTAACACAGAGTTAATGTTGTTGAGAAGACTTATTCATAATGGATTTCATGGTGTCTCTAAAGAGTATGCAATTCTAGATTTTTCGTTCGAAAGTGAATGTGATCATCATATGATATGGCAAGACATTATGACACAAGGAATTGCAAGTGACGGTCAGCTAAACTATCAGGTTCTCCATCAGTACGTAAGTGGTGTATTACCTGTAGGTGGAATCCCATGGATGAAATGCAATTATCTACTCATACTATCTTCAACCCCAGTCAACAATTGGTATCTTTATCTCGTAGATATACATGGGTGGAAATTTCAAATATATGATTGTAGTCACAACATCCACACACCAGACCAATTAAAACTACATGCAAAATCAACATTCAAATTAGTTCAGGGGTTAGTGGTCTTTTCTGGGATGTTGTCTGTCAGAAACGAGTTAAGAAAATTTTCGAAAAAAGATACGAAGATGCAAATTATGGCTCGTTGCATAAATAATGGGTAAGTATTTATATACTAATCACCATGGTATTAAATTTATTTTCCAATTTACTTTCGTATTAACAATACTAATATATTCTAATACTATATTGTTTCAGGCCTAATTCTGGAGTTTTTTTGTTGAAATATATAGAATCCTTCATTTTAGGACAACCAATTGAATCAATTTCGTCCGACAAGATGTGTGGATACAGACGAAAACTTTTAGTCAATGTTGCTTTTAATGAATATTTTCTAACTCCCAGTTAAATATTTTTACAGTTTGTACCCAATTAAGATGTTGCTTTTAATGAATATTTCCTAACTCCCAATTAATTTTTTTACAGTTTGTTTAATATATTCTTTGATTTGACTGAATGAATACATTTTTGGTTGAAAATGGCTACCAAACGCAGTCTGACAAAGATTTATTGACACGTTTCATGTTGGCTTAAAATTGTGGTGTTGGTGGGCCATGAAAGGACAATAACCAATTACCTTATTGGTGTTGGTGGGCCATGAAAGGACAATAATCAAAGTGTGCATGTCCATGTGATTATTGATCAAATGTGTAACAAGATTGAGGTGAGAGAAAGTGTTAAAAGCATGGAGGATAAAACGGTCATTCAAAGCTAATTTGTGTTGATGTTTGGATTGAATTTCTTGTCCGTGGGCCCGTCTGATGAGACGTGAAAATCAATTTTTTTCTTCCCAAAATGGCGTCCAGACATGCCCATAATATGCTCCCATAGGTCCTATAAGTAGTTTGAGTTTTAGAAAATGGTGGTGCCGGGATGATTCTCTGCAGTGACGAGGCAAGTGGCAATGAAATCATCAAAGATCCTCATGTTCTCCCGGCCACTCAGATCAATTATACTGATGGTGTTACTCTGTTTTCCTATGTCAATACAAGCAGGTAAGAGTTGATAGTATAATGCAGATGAGTTTAGCTATTTCATTCCAACCAAATAAGTAATGAAAGTATTTCTATTTGAGAGACGAACCCTGTTCTCGTGTGATCATACACTTTTATCTTACTGATATTTGCAGGGATCCATTAGGCCGATTACTTACGCTGCTAAGGAAGCAGTGAACATGAAGTCTGCTCCACTTATGGCTTCTTTTTCTTCACAGGGACCAAATATTGTTACTCCCGAAATTCTCAAGGCTATGTAACTTGACTTTTGATCAATTGTCTTGCTTCGTAGGATGGACTAAAATCTAATCTATTGTATTGTCTTAAGAATATTGTTACTATATGAAGTCTATTTTGTCTCCAGCCAGATGTTGCTGCTCCGGGAGTAAATATCATCGCTGCCTACTCTGAAGGAACAACCCCTACGGAGAATGCGTTTGATACATGTAGGACTCCCTTTATTACACAATCCGGGACCTCTATGTCCTGCCCTCGTGCTTCTGTAGTAGCGGGATTACTGAAGACCGTCCACCCCGAATGAAGTCCGGTAGCAATCAAATCTGCCATTATGATTCCTAGCAAAATCTCAATTTTCTCATTCTGATCATCGCCACCATAAGTGCTATTTAAACATCAAGACTAGAGACAATACATAGAATCCAAAGGGAGATGCAAATTATGTAAAGGCAACACGTTTCGAATATGGTTCTGGACATCTTCGACCAAACGGTGCAATGAATCTTGGATTAGTCTGTGACTTGAGTTTTAACGATTACTTGGACTTCCTTTGGGCCATTAGTTGCAATCAAACACTGGTTAGCAGTTTCTCAGGATCAAAGAAGCCTTATGAATTGTCCAAAGTCTAGAGAACTTCAACTACCCTTCTATAACAGTGCCAAATCTCTCTGGATCAGTCACAGTGCATAGAAAACTGAAAAATGTCGGCACACCGGGCACGTATGCTGTCCGTATCGTCAACAGGCAGGATTTCAGTTTCTGTGGAACCTCAAAAGAGCTTCAAGTTGAAGATAAAATCCAAACAAGCTGGAAATGAGGGTTGATGTGTGTTTGGGGAATTATTAAGGTCAGATGGCAAGTATTATGTCAGGAGTCCAACAGCAGTCTCTTGATTGGGCTTAAACGATCAATATCTAGAATTAGATTGTTTTTTTCTCTTTTAAAATTTAGAATTCTTTATTGGATCAGTTCGGTAAAGAAAACGAATGTTGTTTATAAGTTTAGTTCATCTATAATTAATAAAAGCATCCTATTTATTTCAAAGAATAGGGTTATTTTGTGATGAACTTTTATTTTCACCTATTAATTCCGTGTTTTTCTTAAGAAAAAAGTCATGCATCTCTTGCTTGCATTATTATGATTCGATGAATTTGATTAAATAATTAGAGTGACAACTTTCAAGAAAGTAGGGAATAAGAAATACACAAATTTTATGGCCACACACAATCAACATTGCTTGTTTAAACCCCATTTTCTTCAAAAAAGAATGTATTTTGTAATAGCGTTATGATAGAGAATGTGTCGTTCAAAAATAATAAAATTTTATTTCTTCTATTTCACATGTTTTATTGGGAAAATATTGTTTCCTTAATTTCACGTTATTTGTTTTTATCTGTTTCCAACTTGAGTTAGGACATCTTCCCTATAAATAGTAGATTATTCATTCAGTTTTTTAGAGTTGAAATTGCTGAAATTGTATTTTATCTCTATTGGTTGTTTAATAAAATATCGTTTCCACTGTCAATTTTTTCTTTTTTTTCCTTTAAATCTTTTTCTTGTTTGATGAGGGATCAACTTCATATTGCTCAATTAACCTCTTTCGATTTTTCACAACACGTGGATTCAAATAGACCCAACAAAATCATTATTCAAGAATGCATTTTTATGCAAAAAAAAAAATGGGACTCAAAGAAGAGCATAAATATAAATTATATATAGCCACAAAAAGAGAGATCAAAAGAAAGGCGGAGAGAACTATGCTTGGTAAAAGGCGTGACTGATGTGATGGCGTGCATTCTATATCTCTATGTATTATTTATGCGTGGATAAAAACAGTTTTATTTCATCATTTTCTCTAGCAAAAACCTGAGGTATCTATGCGTAGGTTTGTACTTACTGTTTGATTCATTTATGTATGTAGCAATCGTTTAACGTTGTTATTCCGTTTTCGTGTTTTTCGAGATAGAGAGACGATGGAGAGGGAGAACAGAAAGAGAACAAGAGAAGAAGAAGAAAAACAAGAAAACAAGAAAGAAAAGAAGGCAGAATTTGAGTGCAACAAAGAGGGTGGAGTTTTCGATTTTCCTTGGCTCAAAGAGGGTGTGATTTTTAAAGGTGATGAATATTTGGAACTCCAAGATACATTTGGTACATGTTTATATGAAATTCCCAGTATTTTTACAGAAAATCTCGATCAATTTTGTGTAGAAAATTTATGTGATGAGAAAGTCGGTGATGATTACAAGATTGATGAGAATTATTTGGGTACATTTCAAGAACCAGAAGATTGCATTTGGAGCTCAGTGATTGATCAGCCTCTTGATATTGGCTTCAACAAACTGTAGAAACTATTTGCATTAAAATTATCCGTCTTCGGATTTTTGGTAACCTTTAAGTTTTAATGTTTGATTTGTAGGGCCTGTTTGGGAGAAATTTTCATCCAAATTTTAATTATTTATTTGACTGTTGCCAATGCAAAATGACCCACTGCTGTCATCTTTGTTGACTTCCATCTCAGTAAATTCTTCCACTAGGACCCACTTGCACTTTTGCAACGGTAAGAAAATTGCTTTTAATCTCGTTCTCCACACACCTTCTCCTCCTGCTAAAGCATCGACACCCGCCCACAAATTTTATGGTCTTTCTTTCTGATCATATCACACTTATGATATGTTTTGTATATTAAAATATTAGAGTTCACGATTGCATGCATATATATATATACATATATATATTTATGAATTATTGTTTTCAAATCAAAGAAAAGGCAAGTTGCAGACTGATTATGCCCCTTTTTGGTTCAACTAAAATTTAAGTTAAAAGTAAATAATTAATTGTAACTATACATTTCATGGAATTCACAACTTTTCAACAGCACATTACATTTTTTTTAAATCTGAATCTACTAAAATATGATTTATCTAAACCAAACAAGTATTTACTAAAATTAGTAATTAAATTAAAGTATTACAACCTAATTATCCAAACAGGTGCACACATATTTGCATGTAACATGACAAAACTAAGGGCAAATATATATGTTAAAACCACTCAAGAACATCCCATTATCAACATATAACATTCAAACAAATAACAAAATCATAAATTATGTGTTGCTCGCAATGGCGAACGCAGACATTTTGCATTAGAGGGCCACAATCAACTTGAAAAAAAGTTGTGAAGAATTTTACATCCGAAAAAGTATACCCCGTGTAAATTTATATCTGAATTTTACATCTAAAAATTTACATGTGTATGACTTTTTCGGATATAAAATTTTGAAATTTTTTTACGTCATATCCCATGTAAGATTTTCTAATAAAATGATATAAATTATATTGAGAAAATTGTCTCACAAAAATAATAAACATTGGTGAAATAATTGAAAATTTTTAAAGAAAATACAAATTAGATGTTACATTTTAGAATGGGCGTTTGACGTACATTTAACTATTTTTGAAGTCCGTGTGAATCCTTTGATGTCTATGATTTAGTTTTCAAAATGTGCTTCGAGATAACACAAGTGTGATTAGTGGTTTCGGCTAACATACAACCGTTAGATAATTTTTAAAGTTGGAATGTTATCGAAATTCTCGAAATACTAGGCATAGTTCAATGTACTATGATATTTGCTGTGATTGGCCGTTTTGTTCACCATTAACAACTGAAATAATAAGTCGTGAGCATTTCGAAATGATTTTAAAAATGTAATATTTTAACTTTGTTTGACATCCCATAATGACCCCCAAAAAATTGCCCCAAAGTTGTGACCCCATGCTTGCTCGCTCTATCACGATTTTATGGTTCTATATGCTATTCTTTTTTAGAAAATGTAAAACTTCAACACAAATGCAAATTTCATCAAATTTGTGAGGATTAAAAATTCTGAGAATGTGACCGCTCAAAATTTGAAATGCTAGGAAATCTAATTCTACAGAAGAATCAACATTTTGATGTTTTCTTTCCTTCACCAATTTTTAAGAGAAAAAAAAAAGTATGATATGCAAATTCATTAAGCACTTGAACTGAACTGCTAGCCAGACTCATCATTCACACATAAATGTAGGAATAGCAACGAGATGATTCGGGTCAGGGACCCCATTCTCCGTACCCGCCCCGTCAAAGATTTTCCCACCCAATCCCATCTTATCCCCGTTTAAGTGGGGAAGGGGCAAGGACAATCCCAAGATTTGTTTAACCCTCTGTTTACTTTTAATTTTTTTTTAATTTATTAATATGATGCACCAATGTTATAAAAATCGAATCGATTGATTTGATCCGAAAAATGGAGAATCGGGCTCAAGTCCGTTTAGATGACTCATTTAGATCACTATGCACTCAACACATTTTTAACCGTCTGAACTGTCAGATTTTGTAACGGAAAAATTACTCCAATCCATGCATTTTAAGTTTCAATCTCAAAAATAAAATATTAACAATTTTTTTTATTTATCAAAAATCAGGTGCTTACTGTTTTTTAGTGTGTGTGTGTGTGTGTGTGTGTGTCAACATATAAAGATTTGGATTACTACTATTAATAAGGTCGACATTTTAAGTTGAAACATCAAGTCTTAACATGGTATCATGATCCATTAAACTTCAACGAGCAATTCGATCCGATTAAAACTCAAAAACTGAGTACACGAATTTCAAGATTGGTTTGTTCAAACGAGCCACCATTTTATTGAGACATTTTAAAGAATTAAATTCTACATCGATTATATACTGAAATATAGACCAACATATAAGATATTAGCTTACTTTATTTAAAAATGTTGACATTTTAAGTTGGAATCCCGAGTCTTAGCACTTCCTACAACACATCCCGAGTCTTTAGGCTCGGGTTTAGAAATCAAATTTTAGGTCGGATTGGATTGGGTTCCGGGTTATCTATTAAAACTCAACCCAATAAATTAAAAAATATTAAAAAGAAAATTAGTGCTTAAAACCAATTATCTTCATGTCTATTATGCCTCTTGTTTCTTTTACCTGTTATTGATGCTTGTGTCATGACTTCTCAACTCAATTTTTTGACGCGATTGTTGACTTAGACCTTTGACTTGAAATGGTACTATTGATCTAACTTCAATCAACTTAAGGCATTTCAAATCATCATTTTTAAAGTAATCAAAATTAGTTCAAATTGAAATGGTATCAAACTTTAGAAAAAATATTCAAATTCAACAAAAAAAAGGTCCCAACTATTGGATACATATAATAATTGTCCAACTTGAATTGGACTTAAGTCCAAAACAATCAACCCGACCTGACCCGAGTTTGGTAGGTTTAGATTGAGTGAATTACCCAAATAGTCACTGAACTTTACGCCATACTTCTAAGAGGTCATTGAACTTTCAAAATTACCCAAATTATCACTGAACTTTGCAAAAGATTTTCACGAGGTCACTAAACTTTAAAAATCACCTCATTCATCACTGAACTTTGTAAAAGGTTTCCCAGAGGTCACTAATTCAGTGATATCCTAAGAAACATTTTGTAAAATTTAGTGATCCCGTAAAATTTTTTTTGCAAAATTTAGTAATGAATGAGGTGATTTTTAAAGTTCGGTGACCTTGTGGAAACCTTTTACTAAGTTTAGTGATGACTTGGGTAATTTTTAAGTTCAGTGACCCATTGAATGCATGGCATACAGTTCAGTGACTATTTGGGTAGTTCACTCGTTTAGATTGACTTGGGTTTCAATCGTGAATGGGTTGATTTATGTTTGAATTATTGTCAAACTGAACATATTGGGTTAGACTTAAAGCCAATCCAACCCAATCCAAGCCCAACCGTATATATATATCACTAGAGGTTGCGACCTTCGTTGGAGATAAGTTGCATGAATCATCGAAACTTTGTCAAACCAATAATATCACGAATACATGCCTATTTTTCCCAAGTGAATAATTAACATTGCTATTTTTGACATGTTCTATTATTTTCTTACACTTATGTATGAACATTGTTTGATGTTTTAGCTATCTTCTCATAAATAGAAGCACGATGAAATAGATTTCGAGTTCTTGGAGAACTAGAAAAGAGCAACCATACATATTGCAGACAAATATATAGATCTAAGTGGTGGTGATACATTGTATAAATCTACGTTGGTGCTGTTGCTGGTGCTGGTGCTGGTAAGGTGGCATCAACATTTGGGTACAAATTTGTGTAGTTTTAGTGCAATGATTGTGATGTAATAGGTGCATTTAGGTTGCTGGTGGTGGTGGTAGTGGAGTGAGGTAGGATGAAATGCAATTGTGATCAATTATTTTGGTAATTATGACCAATAAAATAAGTAATTTATTATCAATAAATTATATGTGATTTAAAAAAATGTGTGATTTGGATGACGACCTGATTTTTGAAATTTTTCTACGAGTTTCTTATTTTTGAAATTTTATCTTGAAACTTTTGTGTTTATGTAATTTTCCTTAGAGAAAAAAATACATAATTACAAAGGTTTCAAAATGCACTTTCAAAAATAAAAACTTGTAAAAAGTTTCAAAAATCAGGTGGTCACATTTGTGATTACACAATAACAGGTCAATGTAACAATAACATACAATTATGGTCACAGTCACAAATTACATAAAATCACGATCATAAAAACACAAATTGTGAGTCACAATTACAAATTTAATGGTAATCACATAATTTTTTAGGCCACAAATTACTCATTTTATTAGTCACAATCACACAAATAATTTGTTACAAACGCTCTTTTTCACACCCTACATACTCCATCACCATCGACACCATCCAAATACTGTGCCACCTCACCACCACTTGCAAACTGACCTCAATCTGAAATCGCAAGTAACAAGCTATAATTTCACAGATTGCAATAGAGGACCCACTCTCGAATCCTCACCCAAACCTTAATTTTTCCTCTCTCCTTTTGCACTGCGCTTTGCCACAATAGTGTGCAATCTTAGGACACACTGCAGATCACTCCAACACCATCTCTGCCTACGTGTACAATAATGGGAAATGGTGCAGCTGTTACACTTATCTAAATCATTGAAAGTGGCTTTTGTTAAAATTATTATAAATTTGATACTTAATTATTTGTATTTTTAAATTTATGCATGAGAAAACTCGGGATCGAGGCGAATATTGATAAAGAAGGATGAAATTGAATAAAATTTGCAACTTTGTGATCAAATTCCCTACTTTAGAAATTGAAGGACTTGAATTGAGATAAAAAGGACATTGGTTGCACAATTAATTAAACTCAAGGATTAAAGTGCATGAGTTGGAAGAATTGAGACCTTGAAGACAAAAACATGCATTGATGGGCTTTGAAATATGGACTTTGAATGGGATAGAAATTGAGGAAATT